AATATCTTTCGATTTGCTCGAAATTTGGCATAGCATACTGAATAGAGTCTAGAATGATGTGTGTAAAGTTTCCTGAAAATCGGTTCAGATTTAGATATAGCTTCCATATACATTTTCGTCCGATTTAAGGTAAATTGTGCACCAAAGTCCCTATATATCTTCCGATTTGCACGAAATTTGGTACAGAGTAATGAATTAGGTCTAGAATGATGTGTGTTAAGTTTCCTGAAAATCGGTTCAGATTTAGATATAGCTCCCATATATATAGTCGTCCGATTTTATGTGAATAATGCACCAAACTCCCAATAATTGTCCGATTGGACAAAATCAGGTCCATGCTTATGTATGCGGAGTTTTGTTGCAATCGGTTCACATTTAGATATAGCTCCCATATATATAGTCGTCCGATTTTATGTAAATGATGTACCAAACTCCCAATATTTGTCCGATTGGCACTAAAATTTGCACAGAGTACTGAATTAGGTCCAGACTAATGTATGCGAATTTTTGTTGAAATCGGTTCAGATTTAGATATAGCTCCCATATATAGTTTCGTCCGATTTTTTGGTTAATGATACACCAAACTCCTGATATTTGTCTGATTGAGTGAAATTTAGCATAGCACATTCTATTGAGAAACAAATGAGGCGTGATAAGGTTTGTTGAAATCGGTTTAGATTTTGATATAGGTCTTATATATATTTTCGTTCGATTTTATGTAAATGGTGGTTACACGAAATTTGGCAGAGGGTATTAAATTGAATATAGTGATTACAAAAAACAAATGGTGTATGCAACGTTTACTCAATTAGGTCTATGTTTATATATAGCTCCCATACATAATTTGACTCGATTTCATACAAATGGTACACCAAAGAATACAATTCTGTCAATTTCAGAATGGTATGTGTATGGGGTTTTTCAATAGGTTGAAATATTTATCTGATAGTACATTTAATTTTGGCCGATTTCATCTCCATGGTCCTCCAAAGATTCTATGACCGTTCTAACTACAGGATATTGTAGATATTAACATGTGGTGATTAGAAGAATATTTTTTCAAAGCCTAGCCAAGGCGTGGATTTTTTAAAGAATATTTTTTCAAGGCCTATATGAGGCGTGGATTACTTAAATAATATTTTTTAGGGCCTAACCAAGGCATGGATTTCTAAAAGAATATTTTTTTAGGACCTAACCAAGGCATTCTAAAAGAATATTTTTTTAGGGCCTAACTAAGGCATGGATTTCTAAAAAATATTGTTTTATGAATGTGAATTTTTAATGAATATTTTTTAAGACGCGGATTTTTAATGAATATTTTTTGAGGACCTAACCGAGGTGTAGATTTTTGTAATACATATTTTTTTAAGGCATGTACAATCATAATACATAAATATACTTCCCATTGCCGGCCCATTAACCCCGTTCTGACATTGACATATTATTTGGGATTATTTATTTATTATAATTTTTTCAAATATTTATTTTAAAACTAATTCCAAGTCATTTTTCTTCGTACGGCTCGTTGAAAGTAGTTGTTGTAGTTGTATTACTTTTTTTGCGCAATTTTTTTTGGAAAATTTCCCAGGAAACGTTGTTGTTTTTGTATTTTTGTTGTTGTTAAAAATGTATGCCGCGGCTAATTGCAAAATAATGTTAAACATCAGTTTCATGTGAAAGTTTTTTTTGTTCGCTTCTTGAAATATGGGCCAAGAGCCAAACAATGATAGCCCGACCGCCGGACAGACAGACAAACCAACATACAGATGTATCTGTTCAGACATATCAATGTTTTGCTATTTTCATTTGAAATATTTATGTGAAGACAGCCACACTGTGAAAACGTCCGCCGCCCATAATGCGTAATTGTGGGTGGGGGTCGGATCTTCTATGTCATATTTTTGTTGTGTAAAGAAAATTCTATCAAAAATGGTTGTTGTTTTTGTTGTTCAAGAAAGCAATAACAATTACAGGCAACAACAATTACAAAAAAAAAAAAAATGATACAAAATAATATTACAAAATTTATGGAAACCAAATGAGTGCAGAAGCTAAATGTTCGAATGCGATAACTGCTAGACAAATTGTTTTTGCACATTGAAAAAAAAAACAAATGATGGTTGGGTGTGGGGGAACAGTGGTTTGGGGGTTGAAGGGAAAGAAAATTACAAATTATGTTTTTTTTTCAATGAGCATCAGAGTCAAAAAAGAAAAATAATTTTTAGGAATAATTTTTTGAACCCCTACGGATTTTAGATTATGTAAGTTTATTTTAATATTTTTTTTTATTAGTGAAATAGAAAATCCTGGGAAGAAAACAGTGGTTTGAGAAACGGGAAAATATCAAACTAATTATTTTTTTAAAGGAACATTATAGTCTTATGCGGAGATTTTTAGGTATATTTATTCAGTCCTCTATGTGGGATCCAAAATTCTGATTTTTTTTTTTTATTTTTTTTTATATTTTCAAACCACTGTTCTCGAGCCATGACTCATGCCATTGGTGTAAACGACAAATTGCCACCGCGATTAGTAAATAATAGCTGCGACAACATCAGGGTAATTCTAAGTAGCTAAACAATTCGCATTTCAATATTAAGAAAACATTAAATTTCGAATATAATGACGGTGACGAACGAGAAAGGGAGAGGAAGACTGAATGTCATTAAGGTTGTACGGAATAGCTCGTTAATAGATTGCTAAAGGGTTGCCATTTTGGGCATGTTTAGTTTTGGTACTTTAGGGCCTAACCAAGGTGTGGATTTTTAAAATAATATTTTTTAGGGCCTAACCAAGGCCTGTATTTTTAAACGAATATTTTTTCAGGGCCTAACCAAGGCTTGGATTTTTAAAATAATATTTTTTTAGGGCCTAACCAAGGAATTGATTTAAAAAAAAATATTTTTTTAGGGATTTCTCGTGGACTATATATAGACCCTATATAAGTTCAGCTCCGTTATTGTTTTTTTTCTATATTTTATAGTTTTAATGTAATATTTTATTTTTAATTATACCTTTCACCACACTGTGGTACAGGCTATTATGTCTTTGTGCATATGTTAGTAACAGGCAAAAGGAAACGATATAGACATATGGTTCCTTTTGTGAATATGCATAGAATCACTTTCTACGGCGATTTATGCATGTCCGTTTATCTGTCCCCCCGTCTGTCTGTTCATGTTAAATTTTAAACAAAGTACAGGTCGCATTTATAATCCGAATTGGATGAAATTTGGCATAGGTCACTTTTTTGGCCCAAGGACGAACCGTATTGAAAAATCGGTTCAGATTTAGATATAGCTCCCATATATATTTTCGTCCGAATTGATGTAAATGGTGCACCATATATTTCGATTTGCACGAAATTTGGCACAGCGTAATGAATTAGGTATAGAATAATGTGTGTTAAGTTTCCTGAAAATCGGTTCAGATTTAGATATAGCTCCCATATATATTTTCGTCCGATTTAAGGTAAATGTTGTACCAAAGTCCCTTAATATCTTTCGATTTGCACGAAATTTGGCACAGCGTAATGAAATTGGTCTAGAATTACGTGTGCATTTCGTGAAAATCGGTTCAGATTTAGATATAGCTCCCATATATATTTTCGTTCGAATTGATGTAAATGGTGCACCTTAATAATTTTCGATTTCCACGAAATTTGGCACAGCCTATTGAATTAGGTCTAGAATAATGTGGGTTAAGTTTCCTGAAAATCGGTTAAGATTTAGATATAGCTCCCATATATATTTTCGTACGGTTTAATGTAAATGGTGCACCAAAGTCCCTTAATATCCTTCGATTTGCACGAAATTTGGCACCACCTGATGATTTAGGTCTAGAATAATGCGTGTTAAGTTTCGTGAAAATCGGTTCAGATTTAGATGTAGCTCCCATTTATATTTTCGTCCGATTTAATATAAATGGTGCACCAAAGTCCCTATATATCTTTGGATTTGCACGAAATTTGGCACAGCGTAATGAATTAGGACTAGAATGATGTGTGGTAAGTTTCGTGAAAATCGGTTCAGATTTAGATATAGCTCCCATATATAATTTTCTCTGATTTAATGTGAATTGTGTACCAATGATCCTTTATATTTTTCGATTTGCACGAAATTTGCCATATCGTAAGGAATAATTTTTAAAAGAATATTTGTTTAGGGTCTAACCAATGTGTGGATTTTTAAAAGATAATTTTTTCAAGGCTTAACCAAGGTGTGGATTTTTTCGGAATTATATTTCATAATTTTATCCCAGTGTCAACCTTTTGTTCATCACCAGCAAAATATTCCCCATCCTACGTCATATCATCACTGACGAATTTATTAAATCCCCCCATCATTTCAATTCGTAACGATCATCATAGATTACAATAAAAAAGTATATATAAAAGCAACAACAACCACATATCGAATTGAAAACAATAACAAATTGAGCCATGAATTAATTCGTAATAAAATGCCAACAACAGCAGCATCATTATTTTAGAATGAAAATATGTCATTAAGATAATTACAGAAACAAAAAAAAAAAAACAATAGCAACAATATAAATAATAGTATAATAAATATTGTTCATATTATTCTTATTATCATTTAATTGTTAACACATTTTGCGCATTACAATACGAACCAATTACACACTCAAATCTAAAGTGGCATCATCAAAAAATATATAAATATAAATAAAATTAAAAAAAAATAGAATTTTATAACATAATATGAAAATAAAATATTCTTTATAAAAAATATACAATAAAAAAGCATAAAATATTAAAAACTATATATATAATATTTTTTTTTGATAAAATTATTTATAGGAAAATATTTTATTGTTATAAGAAAAGTTTTAATTTTATAAAAAAATATTTTAGATTTTCAATAAAAATTTTTCGAAAAATTAAATTTTTAAGAAAAAAATATTTCTACACATTATTATATTTTCCACCAATTTCTAGATTTATTTTTTCAATTAACAATTTTTTTCTTTCTTTTTAGCGCACCATAAAAGCCCTGGGCAAAACCTGGCATGAGGAGTGTTTCTGTTGCGGTGGCAATTGTAAAAAACCCTTGGTGGGTACCTCCTTCTACGAGCGGGATGGCAAGGCTTATTGTAAGACAGATTTTGAAGAGCTGTTTGCTGCCCGCTGTGCTGGTTGCACTCGCCCCATAACGGAAAATGCCATAGTGGCTCTGGAGGCCAAATGGCATAGGGATTGTTTTAAGTGCAAGGTAAGAGAGAGACAGAAGTTATGAAGAAGAAAACCTAAAGAAACCAAAAAAAAAAAAAACAGTAAGGAAATAAGTAAAGTCGGACTGGGCCGACTATATGATACCCTTCACCACTTTAGGTATATTCAACATAGTCTCCTAACTGAAGTCAACTTTTCGAAAGAACATTGACATGAAATTGAACGAAAAAAATTGGTGCACCATGTCTATTAAATGGGACGAAAATATATATGAAACTTGACACACATCATTCTAGACTTCATTCAGTGTACTATGCCAGATTTCGAGCAAATCGAAACATATATAGGGACTTTGGTCCACCATTTACCTAAAATCGGACGAAAATATATATGGGAGCTATATCTAAATCTGAACCGATTTTCAATCTGAAAATCAACACACATTATTCTAGACTTAATTCAGTACTCTATGCCAAATTTCCTGCAAATCGAAAGATAAATAGGGCGTTGGTGCCCAATTTGACTTAAATCAGACGAAAATATATATCGGACAGATATTCACGAAACTTGACACACATCATTGTAGACTTCATTCAGTGTGTGCTATACCAAATTTCGTGCAATTCGAAAGATATATAGGGACTTTGGTGCACCATTTACCTAAAATCGGATGAAAATATATATATGGGAGCTACATCTAACTCTGAACCGATTTTCACGAAAATCAACACACATCGTTCTAGACTTAATTCAGTACTCAATGCCAAATTTCGTGCAAATCGGTGCCCCACTTGCCTTAAATCGAACGAAAATATATATGGGAGCTATATCTAAATCTGAACCGATTTTCTTGAATTTCAATGGGGTTCGTCCTTGGGCCAAATGAATGAGCTGTGCCAAATTTCATCCTAATCGGATCATAAATGCGACAGACGGACGGACGGACATGCATAAATCGACTCTGAAATGGATTCTATGCATATTCTCAAAAGAAACCGAGGGTCTATCTCGTTTCCCTTTGCCTGTTACAAACATTTGCACCAAGACATAACACCCTGTACCACAGTGTGGTGAAGGGTATAAACATATATGGAAATAGGAGATCCCAGAGTGGCGCATTTTCTGCAAGTTAACACATTTTCGAGAAAAGAAAAAATTAAAAAAAAAATATATTTGAAAATGTGAGATACCGAAGAGATTCCATATCTGAAAGTATCACCTTTTCTAATAGCTATCAGCTGGTAGAAGATTTTCTCTTATAAGATCATAAAATAAGACCAGTTCTGTCTGTACCTTACCTTTAGGTGAGCGGTCTGACCACTATTTGTCAAAGCATGGACCAAAGTGATAGGAAATGATATAGATTTTCGGGACCAATCAATCGAAGACAATTTGATACGATTTACTCAGTGTCTGTCTACCTGCCTGGCGATCGTCTATAAATAATACCCTTTTGCCGCTTATATACACTTTACAACCGCTTATATACACTTTGCAACAGGAACGTATACAGGATTTTATTTCGTCTTAAATAAGACGATTTTTTCGTCTCATAAAAAAATAAAATTTGACCTGCTTTGGCCCTAGTAGGAGAATTATGGGCATTCGATTAAAATCATATCGAATTATATAGTGGTTCAAATTGCCGGTACGTGGCGCTGTTTTAGTCCAAGCTACAAACACATATTACCTCTACATGTGTTATCGATAACACTTTTATGGTATGTGCCTTTGCTATATATTACACTTAAAATTCACCACTGGTGGATGGTTAGTGCCAATGCTACAGCCACAAACAGCGTCAAATTTGAATCTTTACACTTATAATTCACAACCGCCTTACACTTATAATTCACCTAAGCTATAGTCACGAACAGCACCAATTTGAATCACCATGTAATTTACAATACGGTTTTTATTGAATTCCCATAAATTCCCTACTGGCCATCTATAAGGAACTGTTTGGCTTTATCAATATACAGGAGAATCGGATACTGCTTGTATGCAATGTATTTGCTATGAATATAGATTTAACATGTTTTTGTATATTTTTTTGTAAAATTTAATTTAAATCCCTTTATTTTAAGAATATTAATTTTATCCCTTCTCTTTTTCTCCCTCTTCACTTTGCAGATTTGTGAAAATCCCATAACTGCCTCAACATTTGCCGTTGAAGGTAATCGACCAGTTTGTACAGATTGTGCGGCCTAAATTGCAATTACATCCTGTGTCATCCCGCCAATAGAGAATTTGCCCAGCCCAGCAGCAGTAGATTGGCGATGATGAAGAAGACGAATGAAATTAACTAAAAAATCAAAAGAAAACTCAACTATATATATAAAAAATTTAAAATACTATTAGGAAATAACAACGAAAACTATCTCTCTCACACACACACAAAACACCTCACACTTGTTCTCTATTTGCCTCTCATTAGGTAATATTGCAAAAAAATTTTGAAGAAATATTCAATTTTTTGTTCGAGAATAAAAAATAATTAATCATAAAAAATAATAATTTTTATAAAAAAATAGAAGAAGAAGACAAATAAATTCAAGAAGGCCTTATTCGCTGTAATAGAATTTAGTTAGGAAGTAGATTTGCTTTTCTTGGAGAAAAAAAAAATTGTGTAGCTGTTAAAGATGGTTGGTGAATTTATTCGGAACGAGCTATTTCAACAGAAATATTCAGCAAAAGGAACGATTGGAACTAGTTCCTGTGCTTTCGTTCACCTAGTTCCTTTTGCTGAAGTCGTTCACATTGGCTCTAGTTCACGTAGTTCCTTTTGATCCAACCGTTCATTGACAGAATGTATTGATTGAACTAAAAGAAACTATGGAACTAAATGAATAAATTAGTCCCTAATGCGAAGTGAATCGACCGATTGAACGGCATTCCTAACAAAATTGCCCAATTGCACAGAATTCCTTAAAATTTTATTTTTAAAAATTAAAACAAATCTCTTCTTCCGTATTTTATTTGAAATGCTCATTTTTTCAACATATATTGAAAAAAATTTAAAAAAAAAAATTAATTTTTATTGTTGCAAATGAATTTTCCTTAAAAATATTGTTATTTTTAACATTCCAAACAAGCTATGGCATGGGAAAAATATATTATGTTAAAAAATTATTAGATTAACAGATTTAATAATTTTAAACATTTTTATTAAAATTTTAATTTTTCTCAAATTTCTTTCTTCCACGAACAAAATTTCAAATAAAAAATCTTCAAATGCATGATATTTCTTTTTTTTTAATATTCTCTCTGTTTTTATAATAATAATGTTAACTCTTAATTAATTAATTTATAAAAAAAAAATTAATTACATATATATAATCAAAATATTGTTTTTGTAAAAAATAAAATAATAATCGATATGCATATTTATTATGATTATAAAATATTTACTATATATATGCAATTGTAATATAAAAAAAATAATAAATAAACTTCTTAATAAATAAAAAAAAACAAAAAAATGTTATTATAATTTTTTAATTCAAATATTTTTAATCTTGTGTCGTTCGTGGACGACCTAGTTCAATTAAACGAGTCAGTCCACTGAACGACTGAACCACATAGTTCAGTTGTTATTATTGTCGTTCACTGAACGATTTTGTTTTCCAAACTTAGTCGGTCTCTGAACGACGTAGCTCACTGAACGACATTACATTTTCTTCTTTGACCAACTAAACGACGTCAAATAAGAACAATTTTTTACGTAAGAAGCGACATTTAAAAGCAAATCACCCCCATAGACAACTGTCGAGCTGGAAACCCTGGATTAATCACCCATTAACAAAGTGGAGAAAATATATAGGAAAGTCCTTCGAATGATCTTGAAAGGTAATCATTCTTTACGTTTGGTTGAACAGCCAGAACTTAATTGGAATACGCTTACATGCCAATTGAACTGAGTAACCATTTGAACGATATAAGCAACTGAACGATGTGAACGACCTAATTCACTTTTAAAAAAATGATCTAGTACGTTCGATCACTGAACTGAACGAGATTGTCCAAGACTAAATATTATAGGCGTGGATTTATAAAAAATATTTTTCATGGACTACTAATAGGCCAGAACTACTTACAGGAGACTACTTATAGGGTGACGTAGGGGATGATAGATACCAAGCAACGGCTCTGATTGACTTTAACATGGCAAAGTCCAGGCTTATCTTGGTCCCTCTTTCATCTCAATTGTGGACACTGATCTCCCTGCGATGTCACCTAGGGTAACTATTTTCATCATCCATTGAAATAGTGAGCTGATATGTGCAGCGAGTTTACCCATAAGAACTATAAAAATGGCTTGAGAAGTATAGTTAGTTGCCCACACTCGGAAAACCCCTCTTACTATGAAAAAACAACGAAAAAGAAAACCAAACCCCCCTAATGTTGACGACCCCCGCAAACGTATAAAGGACCACGAACTGCGAATCTGCACTTGAAATGTGCGCACGTTGAACCGAACAGGCGCAGTTTTCGCTTTGGAGGATGTACTTAAGTAGTACAAAGTCGATATTATTGCCTTACAGGAAATGAGATGGAAAGGGACTAGGTAAGTAAAACAGATGATTACGACCTGTCATGAAATGATACGCGAATTTGTCTGCGGATTTATGGTTAATAGGAGAATAAAAGACCTCGTCTCCGGATTCACTCCAGTAGATGAGCGAATTGATATATTCCGTACATCAATCTCATTTGCTCCCATGCTCCGATCGAAGACAAAGATGAGCAGACCAATGACATATTTTACGAGCGCCTAGAAACAGCATGTGATCGCTGCCCTGGCCATTACATTAAAATTCTGCTAGGAGATTTTAATGGACAAATCGAAAGGGAAAATATTTTTGGCCCCACCGTCGGAAAATTCAGCCTTCAAGAAGAAACATCCGACAACGGTATGAGGTTGTTGGACTTCGCCGCAGCAAAAAAACATGGTAGTTAGCAGCAACACGTTCAAGTATCTCAATATACACAAGACCACCTGGATCTCTCCTGATCAAACAACGAGAAATCAAATTGATCAAGTTGTGATAGGTATACATTCAGGGTTTTAGACGTCCGATCGATCCGAGGAGCGAATATCGATTCGGAACACTACCTTGTAGTAGCCAAGGTTCGCACTCGTCTTAATTTAGTAGGAAAGGTGCGATCTAACACAACACGGAAACTCGAAGTCGAAAAACTACATACACAACAGGTAGCAGAGGCCTACTCCGCTCAACTTACCCAACTGCTTGACGAAAGTACTTCTTGTTCCGATAATAGTACAGAAGCACAATGGCAAAGAATTGTCCACTCCCTACAAACTGCAGCAAAGCCAACACTTTGGTACCAAAGACCACCATCAAGAAACCCGTCGTACGATCAGGAGTGTCGTAATGCTACTGATGTGAAATACGCAGCGTATAGAGCAACCCTGCAGACAGTAGCAACACGTAACGTAATGGAGAATTATCGGGAGAAAAGGAGAGAGGAGAAACGTGTTTTCAGAAAAAAGAAGAAAGAACAAGAAAAAGGTGAGTGTGAGCATATCGAGATGTACATGAGTCAGAATGAAGTCCGAAACTTTTACCAACGAGGAAAACACCAAACCGAAAGCTGTGTTGCAAGCACATCCTGCTGTAAAGATGGAGGAGGAAACATGGTGGCAGATACATACAGCGTGTTGAGGACATGGAAAGAGCATTTTGAAAAGCTTCTGGTATCAAGTAGTGACGATGAGGAAGATACCCCAGAACCAATAAGAGATGATGTATAGAGTGTATACCATCTAGCCAAGATGAGGTCAGAATAGCAATCAATCGTCTGAAGAATAATAAAACAAAAGGAGCCGATGAGTTACCAGCCAAACTATTCAAGACTGGTGGTCAGATGCTGGTCAGGAGCATGCACCAGCTGATTAGTACAATTTGGCTAGAGGAATGCATGCCCAATGAACCTCAGCATCCTGTGACCCTTGCACAAAAAAGGAGACAAGACAAGGATATATGTGCCAAACTATAGAGGAATAAGTCTCTTTCTCAGTCGACTGAAGCCAATGGTCAATTACATTATTGGGCCATACCAATGCGGCTTCAGACCTCGACGGGTGGTAATATCTGGCTGGAGGTATGCATGCCCAATGATTGGAACCTCAGCATCCTGTGTGTCCCGTGCACAAAAAAGGAGAGAAGACGATATGTGCCAACTATGGGTACAGTCTCCTTCCCATCGCATATGATGTGCTATCCAGGGTGCTGTGTGAACGTATGAAGCCAATGGTCAATGACATTATTGGACCATACCAATGCGGCTTCAGACCTGGCAAATCCACCATTGACCAGGTCTTAACTCATATCACCTATTCGTCGACTATAAAGCCTCATTGGATAGCCCTATCTGTACATGTCTGCATTCGCCATTCCTGCAAAATTAATACGGCTATGCAGGATAACTTTAAGTGGCACAAGGACAGCAGTTAAAGTCCAAAAAGGCCTATCAAAGCCCTTTAATTCCGAACGAGGATTCAGACAAGGTGACAGTTTGTCGTGTGAACTATTTTAACATTCTGCTGGAAAAGGTCATATGAGATGTAAAAGTGAACTCTGTACACCAAATATCACTTTCCTTACGCCGACGACATCGACACAATGGGTCGAACATTGCGAGCAGTAACAGCCTCCTTTGGACAAATTGAGAAGGACTCTGCCAAAGTGGGTCTGCCAGTAAATGGCGAGAAGATCAAGCTGATGGTATCAACGCGCAAGACGTCCAGTAGACTCGGACCAACTGTGGACCTTGAGAACTTCAGCTTCGAGGTAGTGAAAGATATTATATACCATGGTATCGCCGTAAATAAAATTAATAGCATCAGTTTTAAAATTCGGAAGAGGATAGTGTTGACCATCTGATGCTACTATGGTCTGAGTAAGCAATTCAAGAACAACGCCACCTCCCGCCAGACCAAACACACACTCTACAAAACGCTAATATTACAAGTGCTATTATATGGATCTAAAGCATGGGTTCTTGCGCAAGTAAAAGAGGCAGCTTTTGGAGTGTTTGAGAAAATTCTCCGAAAGATCTATGGCCCGATCTGTGTTGACGGTGAATATGGTCGTCGAATGAACCATGAGTTGTACAATCTATTCTCGGACATTTGTATTGTCAGGCGCATCAAGCGGCAGCGACTACTTTGGCTAGGTCATGTTGTGAGAATGAGGTTGCCCC